AAATGGTAAAAGTCCAAATCACATCAACACTACTTTAGAAGATGACCAAATAAATGAAGTTGCACAAACTCATAAGGTGAGAAGATCAACAAGGGCCATAACTCAATAAGTCAGGTTAACTGACTATGAAAGATTTCCTGACCAAGCCATTAGTTTAAATGATGAGCAAAATGAAAAAAGCCATGACAACTAAATGTGAGATAATTGACCTCAATCGAGACCTAAAATATGAAAATTGGGAATAAGTTATGAAAGAAGAACTCAAGGCAGTTGAGATGAATTACACATGGAAGTTGGTCAATCATTTAAACAAGATAGTCACATATGTGAAATGGATCTATGAGCTGAAGCTCAAGACAAATGGTGGTGTACCAAGTACAAGGCAACGCTAGTAGCAAAGATGTTTGAACGTTCACTTTGATGTTGAAATATAATGTTCGATTTATGTTAATGTTTACCTAAGTAATGTTTCTTTTTTTTATGTTATCAATGCTAATTTTAATTTTCATTCTGCATCTTTCTGGTTTTGTAATTGTTTCTACTTCAATATGATCCAGAAACACATCTCCTTAAGGTTTACGAAGATTACATTTCTGGAAGTAAAATAGTCAGAAATTTAGGGAGTGACTCAAAATCAGACAAGGTTGTCTGTCTTTGGAGTGCGTCAAGAGATATATTTTTAAAATCAAAGGGTGTTGAGTTTTTTCATGAGGGTGTAGTAGCAATATACAGAGTGTCCTAAGAAATTCCTATTTTCCCCCTTAATTCTTTCTCATTTTATTGCCAAAGTAGTATCGTTTATTCATTTGCTCACTAAATATTTCGATCACGTTTATTATCTTATACTCTATCATAAATTAGAAGTCACCATGCCAAAAAAATTGTAACAAATTATAAATTACTTTACAATTTCAATACAACATTAATAATATTTTTTCTAATATGTGTCTAAATTTTTATTTTCATGGAGTCCTAAACAATTAATTTCTTTTTCAAGTTAGTCTTTAACGTTAAATTTTTGTTTAAAAAAATAATTGATGTGACTACTGTGGAGTTGAACGAATGACTTTCTTTTAGAAGGTATTATTTACCCACTAAGCCAACTATTCAATTTATTTATAATTTCGTAATACAAATATATATTACATAAGTACTTTAGTATTACAAAAATAATTTAATTTTTTTAAACCATTAAATAGTTTAATTAATGTGTAATAGAAATATTAAATAATTTATTAAATATCTCAAATATTTTACATTTCAAATATTAATATTTAATAAATTATTTAATATTTTAACTATGAATATTTAATATTATTTTATCATTAATTAATAGTTGAGATATTAAATAGTTAAAATGTTTGATAAACTAATTACTTAATATATTAAATAATTAAAATATTAATAGGCAACATATTTAATATACTAATTGTTTAAATATTAATAGTTGAGATATTAAATAGTTAAAATATTTAATAAACTAATTATTTAATAAATTAAATAGTTAAAATGTTATTAGTTGAAATATTTAATAAATTAGTTATTTAAATAAATTAAATAGTTTAAATATTAATAGTTAAAATAATAAATAGTTGAATTATTTAGTAAAATAATTATTTAATAAACTTGAAATACTAAATATTTGGTTATGTTATAAAACAATCATTTAATAAACTAAATAGTCGAAATACTAATAGTTGAAATAAACTAAACAATTTAATTATTATGTAATTTTTTTATTAAACATTTCAAATATTTAATAATTTCAAATATAATTAAATACTTATTTGGTATTTAATAAATTGTTTAATGTTTCAACCATAATCAAATATATTACATACAAATATTTCATCTATTAATTAATGATAAAATGATTTTTTAAATACTAAATAATAATTAAATATTTTGTATTATTTCATACTATTTAATAATAGTCTAGGAAATACTATTTAAGAAATACTTGAAATTATATAAGATACTATTAAACAATGAAATACTAAATAAATAGTTGAAATATTATTTAATTTTTTAAATACTAATATTAAAAAATATAATATAGTTGAAATATTTATTAAACTATTTAATATTTCAATTACACGTTAATTAAACTACTTAATAATATAAAAAAATTAAATTATTTAATATACTACTTCAATAATACTGAAAGAATATATATTTAGGGTTCTCGCTATTTAGGCCTCTTCGTTAGAGTTTTGTAAATATTATTTTTAGGCAAGTAAACTGAAAGCTACAAACTAAGGTGTGTGTGTGTATATATATATATATATATATATATATATATATATATATATATATATATATATATATATATATATATATATATATATATATATATATATATATATATATATATATATATATATATATATATATATTTATTTATTTATTTATTTATTTATTTTGTAATTGCAAAGGTGATAGGCTCAAACTTTTTATTATTTATGACCCAAAAAAGAAAATAACACTTAAGTGAAGTTATTAAATATTTTAAAAAATGAAGAGAAAAAGTTGTCACATCACCGACGTTGGTTAGATATTTATTTTTTAATAAAAATTTAAGTCATCTAAAAGAAAATGACCCCATCCAAAAAAGATTTAGAAAGCAAAAATACAAAAACGTGTCAACTTATATTTAAATCAGAATAAAATTACTGTTATATAATGATTTTTTAAAAATGAGTAAAGTTTAATTTTCAATTCTATATTTTAATAATTGTTTTTGGTTCATACGGTCATAGATATGACACATCTATTAGTTGTTTGTTTGTGTCAACCAAGAGTTGTGCTCGTGCGTCATTTACAAGTGGGCGTTTAATAATGCGTGAAATATCAATGTACGTGACTCATTAAATGTTAAACTTAATATACAAAACAAATTATATTTATCATCTAATATGAGTACAAGATACCAAAACAGTTTTTCAGGTTATTATTAGAGATGAAAACAGAAATTTGTACATTTTACCTAAACTAAAAATAGTAAATTGAGTAGTTTTCTTCCTTCTGAGGAATATTCTTTGTATTTATCTTTTCCATATAAATATAATAATGGAGGAGCAACAAATATACTAGTGAACAATGAACAAATAGAAGGAAAATAACACTACACATCACTCAGATACGTAGGACGAAAACCTATGAAGAATTTCAATACTTCGAACCTTTTCCAGTCTTATAAATGAATTTTCCTCAGAATCTCACCCTTTAAACACTATCATTTCTATCCGCTATTACGGACCAGTCCTGCTACCTTAAGAATGCACAGGCAAGTTGGAATGGGGTCCCAGAGCATACAGTATAGTATCCACAAGATTTTGCACTTTTATCATTTTTTCCCCAATTTTATCATCTTTATTCCCCGCTGATGATAATGATAATGTAGCCTTTCCAAACAATTGTATAGTGTGGTATAGTTTAAGATATAAAAGTGTCCTGCTTGGGAGATTCTAACATGTGAAGAAAAAAAGAAGTGGATCCCCCCATAAGGCTGAAAAACCGGAGAACTTATGGGAACAATTTACCATTATATACAGTCTACTTGAAGTCACTACTATAATCTAAACGAGAAGGGGGAGATTCTTTGCTATCACAAACCTATCCTACTGCACCATTAAATTCAAAATTACTGGACACAATACAGTTGTGTTCTTACCGGACACAATACAGTTGTGTTCACCGATAATTAACAGTTCCTTACCAGTCCCCACTTTCCATGATTTTGATAATACTACGGAAATAAACTTCCATTTTTTTGCACGACCGATTGACCAGATCATATACAGAAGAAAAGCTACAGAAATAAATCATTTCTACAGATATTTAAGCTTTGTTAATGGTATGGATTGTTTCCCCTTACCTGGTCATAAAATTTTGTTCAGGTCAAATTTTAAACTTGAACTCAACACTAGACCTAAAAATGGCCAATAGTGAATAGATGTAAAAAGGACTAGGTAAGTAGAGGGAGAGCAGGTTGACCTAAAATATAAACCAAGTAAAATTGTGAAATGATCATATAGCAATGATATTTAAATGAACATATTACATCCCAGTTCATGGTGAATGTATACATTACAGTTTCTATTTACATAAAAGTATCTTTTTACTCCATTCAAGTTTTAAGACATTGCTTAGGCAAGAAAACAATATATCATTTTGGGTGTAGACTATGAATCCAAACAAATAAAAAGATAGAATAATTTAACAGAGACTTTGGATAGTCTCCAGCATGTAAAATGGAGGCTGAATTTGAAGCAGCAGATTATGGTGTGTGTATGTATGAGACACAGAAAATGTAGCCCACACAGAATCCCAAATCTCTCACTAACTTGATAATTGGATCATAGGAGTATTGATTCTTTTCATTTAAAAAAAAAAACTTCATTTTGCTATAGCTATGAGTATCTTTACAAATTCTTGAAATGTGTAGTCATCAATACCTAATTTATAGTAAACGGGTGGAGTCATCAATACCCCTACCCATGATAGTAACATTGTCTCTCAAAGAAAATGAAACTAGACTGGATAGAATTTGTTAAACATCCATCCTTGTCATTTGTACAAGGAATCAAAATTAATCATTGAAACCTTATTCTTCATATAATACAGAGATGAAAAAGACAATCTTCAAAATAAAATCAAACGGTAACAAACCATAATTTATCATATATCACGATTACTTCCATTTGTATGTTCAACAATAACATATACACATCACACATAATAATTGAAGGCTTCAACATTGAAACAATCAACACAGAATTCCAACAAAATCATCACTAAGGTTTTCCAAGTAATAATCCTAAAATATTGCAAATACATAGAGTTCGAAAGTAAACATGTAATAAAGGAACAATCAAAGGGTACACGGACGAGTTTGCACCTTAAGGTGTTTCTTTTACATATAAATTCAGCTATAATTATTAACAATACATAAACCACACGGTAATACTACGAATTACTAAATATTCATTTATAAATTCTCATACCGAATCCTTAGCCGGCGGTGCGGGGGCATCAGCAACTTCAGCCGCCGGAATCTTGACATATCCAACTTTCTTAGGGCTCTCGATCTCGTCGTCGGAGAATTCACCGTAAGCGGCAGCGCGGAGTTCATGGCGGGCGGTGAAGACGGACCAGACCAAGTACATGGTGGCGGCGGTAAGGGCACCACATCCAACTCCGAAAAGCAAGGCAAGTGCGACGCTGAGGATATCCTTAGTACGATCGCGGAGGGAAGAGAAATCGGCGTCGGTCGAAAACCCTAGAGGGCCGCGTGGATGGGACGCGCGAGACTGGGTTTCTAGATTCTGGTGTTGGATCGGGCGATCCAAGAAGATTCCGTAGGGTTTGTCGTTGGTGAAGAGAGGGGAGATGGATCGGATCTCGGTGATGGTGGCGAAGGTGTTGGAGGAAGGGTTGCGGAAGGAGTAGGAGGAGATGATGAAGGTACGGCAAGGGCGAGCGGAGACAGTGGCGGCGGAGAGAGCGAAAAGGAAGATCACGGCAGCGGCGACAGGAAGACGGAGGAGGGAAGCCATGGCTGAGAGACGGAGGAAATTGAAATTGAAATTGATGTATTTGTTTATTTTCTTTTGTTGCGAAGAAAAAGAGAGAAGAAAAGGGGAAAATAAGAAAATTAATGGAAGACGACAAATGCTGACGTGGATTCCAAAAGATCTAGTCCACGTCAACGGCACGAATAAAAAGTACCGTTCCAAAAGCAATTTCCTTAAAAAAAAGTCATGCTAACCGGTACTTTAAAAATTCTTAAATAAAAAAAAGTTATATATTTTTAATGTTAAATATAAACAATATTCTTAAAAATATATAATTATTTTTATTTTCAGTCTATTGAATAGATATATTTTAATAATATATATGTTTTTAATTTTAAAAAAAAATATTTAATTTATCTTTTTAATCTCTTAACTAATATCTTCAAAATATTGGTTAATATTTTTCATAAAAAAATATTCATCTTATTTTTGTTAGGAATAAAAAAGAAAAAAAGAAAGATTGATTATGATCTTTCCTTCATTAGAACCTTAAAGTTTTCTTTTCCTTCACAAAATACTAGGGCATATCTTGATTTATAAGACCAACTTCAATGAGAGTTGTTAAAGTGGATTTGTCAGCATGACACTCATATTTGATGTTTTCAATATTGTCATGTTGTTCAACGACATATACGTTCTTCAAGCTTCCATATTAAAATATTGATTTTATAATATGAAAACTAACCGTTGTTTAACGGCTAGTTACTTTTTTTTTCAATTTAATTTTTTTTTTGTTATAAATATAACTTTAATCTAAAAATTTTACCAACACAAATTTTCTCACTTTTATTTTCTCATCAATTTGAAATTTCTCTCTCAAAATTTCATCAATTTTTTTTTAACTTTTAATTTTTTTTCCAACAATTATTTAGGCCGAATGGATCCTAATCATTTTCATTATCATTCAGTTATGTTCAATTACATGCAAAATTTACAAAATCCTAATTCTCAAAATTCTCAAATTCCATCGGTGCCAACAAACCCCGCCATGTTTTTTCCGTCACCAAACAATCCAAATATGTATCCTAGACCTCAAATGAATTCTAATAGTATGGAATTCTCTACTCAAGTTCCACCATTTTCTATTCAAGTTGGTACTGAAAAAGAAGAAAGAGTTGTCGTTAAAAAAAAATCTCAAGAGCAATTTACAAGGGATGAGGATTTACGACTTATCCAATCATGGCTCAATATTTCAAAGGATCCAATTGTGGGAGTTGATCAAAAGGCTGAGAGTTTTTGGTTAAGAATCGCTGCTAGTTATAACCAAATCGTGGGCAATCGTGGGAAAAGTTAGGGGGACAATTAAAATGTCGATGGCATAAAATAAATTACATGGTTCAAAAATTTGTTGGGTGTTACAAAATTGCTCTTAAAGGAAAGAAAAGTGGGACATCGGAGACCGATGTCATGGTAGATGCACATGCTATTTTTGCTCAGGATCAAGGTACAACATTCAATCTTGAGTACGCATGCGCGATTGTTAAAAGATGAAGCTAAATGGCGCATCGTCGAAGAATCGATTGGAAGTTCTTCAAAAATAACAAAGACTTCTGCTAGTGAGTCATCATCGGAGAACCCAGATACACCTTCAAGTTATGAGTTTAACTCATCATCACGAATGGAGCGTCCAATGGGACAAAAAGCAGGAAAAAGGAAGGGTAGGCAAAGGAAATTCCAAATGCAACGCAAGATGCAAAGAATAAAAGAGCAATAACAATGGAAAGACTTGCGCAAGCTAAGGAGGAAGAGATAGAATTAAGGGTAGTGCAAATGATGATGAAATACACTTCTACTATGAACGATAGTCAACGAGATATTCATGAAAAATATTGTAATAAGATGAAAAAAGAATATGGAATGTAGTTAGTATCACTTATGTAAAATGGTCATTAGTACCACTTTAATTTATCAACACCTATGTAAAATAGTCATTAGAACCACTTTAATTTAAACTAGTCGTTTTTCAAACTAGCACTTTAATTTAAACTAGTCGTTATTCAAACTAGCTGTTATTCAAACCATTATATATACTACAACTTATGTCATTGTTCTCTCATTCTCATCTTATTCTTCTCATTTTTTCTCATTCTTTACTCACTAAATGGATTCAGACAATTTAGATAATTACGATCATGAATTTTGGAAGTTAGTTGAAGAAGAATTTATAGACGACAGTGATGAAGAACAACAACTTTAGAATGAACGTCGATCTGGAAGTTTCTCTAGGCCAAAGAGAAGAACAACGGTAGATCGAGGTAGCGAAGAAGGGCACAATCGATTATTCAATGACTACTTCTTGGAATACTCAGTATACACAGATGTTCAATTCTGAAGAAGGTTCAGAATGCATATGCATGTATTTCTTCGAATTATAGATGTCCTTGGAAATCATGATGAATATTTCCAAATGAGGGTCGATGCAACTGGTAAAATGGGTCTTTCACCATTGTAGAAATGTACATATGTTATTCGTATGCTGGTGTATGGGTCTCCTGCTGACCTTGTAGACGAATATGTTCGAATCGGTGAAAGCACTTCAATTGAGTGCTTACAAAGATTTGTTAAGGGCGCGAATGTTATATTTGGGGCTGAGTATTTGAGAAAGCCTAACAGCACTGACGTTGAACATCTTTTACAAATGGGAGAGTCACATGGCTTTCCAGGTATGTTGGGTTCCATCAATTGTATGCATTGGGTATGGAAAATGATCCTGTTTCATAGAAAGGACAATTTTGTCGAGGTGATCAATGTAAGCCCATAATCATGCTTGAAACAGTGGCATCACAAGACTTATGGATTTGACATGTTTTTTTTAGTATTGCAGGTTCAAACAATGACATTAATGTGCTAAACCAATCCAACATGTTTAACGATATTTTGGATGAACGTGCTCCCAATGTGCAATATACAATCAACGGGACACCATATAATATGGGGTATTATTTAGCATATGGTATATATCCCGAGTGGGATATATTTGTCAAGATTATTTCAATGCCACAGGGAGAAAAGAAAAAATTATTTGCTCAACATCAAGAATCAGCTAGAAAAGATGTGGAGCGAGCATTTGGAGTGCTTCAATCTCGATTTGCAATTATACGTGGTCCAACGCGTGCCTAGCACATGGACAATCTCAAGCATACCATATATGTCTGCATCATATTGCACAACATGATTGTGGAAGACGAACGACATGCATATGGAGGTAATTTTGATTACTCTTATGATAATGTGGATATCAATAACTCAACAACTGAAATATTTAGCGATCCTCATCCGAATCTTGCAACAAGACTACAAAGAAGAGCAAGTATTCGTGAAAAACAAGTTCATCGTAAACTTCAAGGAGATCTAGTCGAATATATTTGGGAACGCTTTGGACATGAAGATGATGAAATTTAAGTTTGATTAATTATGTGATGTTATTTATTTTTACTGTTTTTAATTATATATCATGTATTTGAGATTAATTTTAATTATCATTTTAAATTATATGTTTAATTTAAATTTTATTTATTTTATTTTATATCAATTTTTATTTATTTTATTTATTTAATATAAAATTTAATATGAATAAAATATTAATATATAAAGTAAAGTTGTGGGATCCAATATGAGTTCTTCAGAATTGCACCATTGGAATTAAAAACTAAATGAGTTGCTTCTAATTGACGTGGCTTAATAGGTATCACAAAGAACTCAAAAATGGGTTCACGGTTGGAGATGCTCTAATTAGTAATTTATTTGAAATAAAAATATGTTTTAAAAAAATAATTTATTTTAATTTCTAATGCTTATTTTTGAATTCTATCATCTACTAATAAATATGACTTTTATCACTTTCAATATTTGAGAAGAGGTATTTTGATAAAAATATCATTCTCTCTTTAATTTATTTAAATTTTTAATTTATGTTATGGACAATAAGCTAAATCACTTATCATGTAACTAAGAAAGTATTAAAGAGTAGTCCATCTATCTTTTTTTGGCAATTAAACTTAATCTTCATTTCTTTAATTTCTACCTAATTATACTTTTGATACAACTTAACATAATTCTATAAATTATTATTATTATTATTATTATTATTATTATTATTATTATTATTATTATTATTATTATTATTATTATTACTAGCGTTCAGACGGGCACTCCCGTGCCCGTCTGTCCGCTTTTTTAATGCGCACAACATAGAAAAAAAAACGTGTGTATATTTTGTATGAAGTTTTTATCATACTTAGGATTAAAAATAATGTTTTTAGATTTTCTCAAGTAGTCTTAAATGTGCGCATGTTTTTTTTAGTACGCATACGTTATAGGCAAATCACTCCTTTATCGGAAGAGTCTATATAGTATAACCTTCGAAGGGAGAGAAGTTTTTCTTCTGATTATTGTTATCTCATGTCAAAGATCCAACTAATTAGAAATATTTTCTTACAAATAATGACAATTCGTTTAATACATTTAAAAGATCAGTTGAGGATAAAGGATTTCTAGAAACTGATCATAATATCCGTGATTGTTTGATTAAGATTGTGGCTCTTCAAATGCCATATGGTTTAAGGAGGTAATTCTCTATTACATCAATTTAAATTAACAAATACTTTTAATACATCAATTTCTCATATTAACAAACCACCTTATAGCGGTTAATAAAAGATATAGTAAATAAATTTGTAACTATATATAAATGGAATATTTTTATATAGTCATTTTTTAATTTAATTTTGTTTTTAATATATAACTATATATAAAAGTAAAATTTGCTTTTGGTGTAGTTTTTTTCTTTCAATTATACTCTTTTCCATTTTTTAATTAAATTTCATCTTCTCTTTTATTAACCGCTATATGGTGGTTTGTATATATCTTTCATTCTACTATTTTTTATTATTTTATAAATAATTTAATTAAAATAAAAAATAAATATATAAAAAATACCGTTTATATTTTTACTCATCTCTGCATCAATAAAAGTAGAGAGA